TTTTTCCATTTTGGTTGCAAGCCCCAAGGACTTCCCACCACCAATTCACACATGTGCCATCACCATAGTCCTGTGCACTCTTCCCGCCCAGTTTTCATCCTGTTCCCCTCTACATCCCATAGAATGTCTATGGTTTGCAGTTGTTCATTTTCATTTATACTTATGAGAATTACTCTCCCCCCCCCCCATCCCTTACACTCCTGCTATGAGTGAAATCACCCGGTACTTTTCTTTTCCTTTCTGGCATTTCCACAATAATAGTCAGAGCTCTAAGTGCAGGTGTTCTGTGATACACTAAGTGGAGTTTGCTTAATCTTTTAATAATTGTGCCGAGATTCTGGCATGGTGTTGCTCCTAGCATACTCTAATAATCAAAGCAGGCAGGGAGAGCATTCAAATTTGAGTCAGTGAGAAACCTCCCTTTCAAGGCAAGCAGTACCTAAGAAGCTATGGGCATATTTAATTTGCCACATGACCCATATAGATTATGCCTTTTAATCGCTTTTTAAAAATTACTGTGAGAGAAATGTAGAGAAAAAAGCAAACAGAAGAATCTTTATTTTTCTTCATAACTTTATTAATACCTATACTAATAAATAAGAAAACATATAATACAGAACCCAAAATAGAACAATTAATACCCATTTCCCACTGGACTACATACTGCTATCCTAGGCCATATAATACCCAACCTTCTCCCCTCCAAAGCATGGGTAGAGCTGCTTGGGGGTACTGTTCACTTTCAGATGCTGTGTGGTATCACAGAGGAGGGATCTTCTGTAAATATAAACATAAATACATATTTCATAAAATTGCAAGTGTTTTCAGCAGGGATAACATAAATTTCACTATTAATAAAAGTATCATACACAATCAATAAACAATTGCCTTCTTTTTTTTCATTTGTGCACACATTTTTCTGAGGAGCCTTTTCAGTGCTACTGCTTCTGTCAACTTGCACTGTTTTTAAAATTATGTTTACTGAACCCACAAAGATGCTTAGTATAAGAAAGCTACTCTGAATGGATATTTTAAGGCCTCTGCATGAAATTGCTCTGGTGTGGTAATTGGCACATAATGTCAAAATGTTCCTGTCTAAATATAGTTCAGTTCCTCTTGTTCCCATGTTTTCCAGGCAAATTGTTCCAATAGAAAATAGGCAAAATAAAGAAGGAGGAAAATAAATGCTGGATGGTGCTACTTCTATGTGGAATATAAAGAAGCCCAATATATAAAGGGTCAAAGACAAACTTTAAAAGCAACCCTAAAGCATCTGGAGGGAGAGGTGGAGAGGTGGAAGGGGGCTAATCAAGCACAGTGGAATATGGAATGGTGGAGGGCTGTGGGTGCTTTGGTGGTGGGAGAACTATGGTGACCACACCTCCACACCTGCCGGGAGAAATCCTATACTTTCAAGATATGAACAAGGATGTAAAATCATTGTACTCCATTAAAAATATAAAAAAGAAAACATAAAATAATGTTTAGAGATCTTGACAAAAGCTTTCTCTGGACTATAAGTTTGTTTTAGAACAGTGATCACAGAAATCATAAACAAGCTGGAAAATGTGTATCAGGATTTTATGAGGAGACAGATTCAGACTTACTATAAAAAAATTAATTTTCCCATGACTGAAAGTAGTTTTTGCATGTCACCAGATATATTATGTGTGATATGAATCTACTTTTTAAAGACTGCACAATTTGTAGTTTATTATATCTAGACTTGCCCTATTGTGGCAAATGTGTGGCAAATATTAATTTAGAAAGGCAGCAGCTCTTCATATCTGTCACAATAACACAATAGGTCTACCCATTTCAGAACCATTCTTTATAACCAATTTATATAACAGAAAAATAATTGTTAAATAGCTAAATGAGAATGCACAAAATGTACTTGTTAAACTTGTGACATTTTTTGTACCATTTGTTAGTTTTTAATTCATGACAAATTATTAGCAAAAATTTGAAGAGAAAGTTCAAGGAAAAATATGTGCGACTTAGCATATAGTGTACACACTGAATATGCTCACAGATGTGTTATATATGTTATACTTAGTAAATCAATGACCATATATAACTGAATATAGTCACAAAATAGAATAATGAGTTTGAGTAAACACATTATATTCAAACTTATCAGTCAATTTAAAGTTCTAATTTCAAAGTAAACCAAATTTTTCTTTTCTCAAAGGAAATATTTTTTTTTGCTTGATGGCAAAATAAGAGCTTTAATATTTCCAAGACTAATTATTTTGCACATCAGAAGAGCCACCTGTGAGCTTTGTCAAACTATAGCTTTGTTTTTCTAATCAAAGTGAAAAACACAGTGTGATGAGAAAGATCTCATCTGACCTGAAGCCTTGGAATTATAAGTTGCCAAGGTGGGACCTTATGGAAGCTTAGAAAGAGATGTCTAGGGAGAATAACTGGGCTCCCACCCTGTGCCTCTTTGTACACTTTTAGCCTGCTTCCATTCAACACCTCTTTGATACAAACCCAGAAGAGGGTGCCCAGTCACTTAATATTCTAAATACAATAACACCATCTAAATCTGATGACATAATCAGAGTTAGAAAGGGCAATAAAAGCATATTTTTCATTCCTATATCGCAAGGAAAGGCACCAAAACTTCACAATTTTTTTAGTGAAGGATGAGGCTTTAAGAGCCATCCTTATAATTAAGTAAATCGCTATCAGGAAAAAAATGTCTAACTTTGGTTTCAATTTTAAGTTTCAGTTAACATCATAACCATTCATATTCATGACATATTATTTGATCATTTTCTAGTTTCTCTTTTCTAGCTCCATTTTCTTTAAATTTAGTTTTTGTGTGTTTATCTTAATTAAATGTGGAGGGAGAAATGTGGAACTAACTAAAATAGAAGAAAAATACTCTCATTCATGTCACTTTTACAAATTGTTTTAAAGTAAAATTTTCTAAATTCTCATGGAAGCACCTACTTTATCATTCTGGGTTTCTTTATCTTTCCCAGGTTTAAAATATTCATCATAAACATCAATATCAATAATAAAAACACATATACATGATTTCAATAAACTTAAAAACATCATCAGTCCTTCAAGATTCTGGAATACCAGTATGTTCCAAATCCTTTTCAACATTAACAAACATAAAGAAGGAAGGAAAAGATTAATATTAATTAATTTGAAAATTTCACTAATTAAATCTAGCAGCAAAAAGTTAATATGTTCTTCTAAACACAAAGTCAAATATGATTTAACAAGTTTCACAATGGGAACAATTTATTCTCAAAATGCTACGTAATCTGCTGGGCAAGTGAAGAGGTTTTCTCAACATTCAGGGAAACCTTCATCAATGAAATTATACATTTACCACAGCTTATGTTACAACATTTACACACAGCTTAATTATAAGTTACATATCTTCAAGTTACATATTACAAACTTTACATTTAATGTAATCAACAAGAAATATTACTCTCCCACTGCCCAACACTAAACTTCAGTTAGTGTAATCTTGAGGTCATCTGTAAGTTTCACTATGGAGAAAAATCAAGTTGGTATATTTCTGTAAATTGATGAAATGGGCACAGAAGAGATAACAGCCAGTGAAGAGGACAAAAAGAAAACAAATGACAGGTGACAGAAAGACAGAGAAGGAACTTAATGGTTCTTAGGAACACTACCTTATTATTTCCCTAGAATCAATATTTTGTCTCTATATGAGATTTTCCTGGTTTGTGTGTGTGTGTGTGTGTGTGTGTTACTGAGGTGTTTCTTATCTACGCCAAGAAGCAATCAAGAACCTTATTTCTCCCTCTGCACATCTTAAAGTCCTATATTGAATCACATTTAATTAGAATTTTTATTACTTCTCTTGAAAAGTTCCTCTTGACTTTCAACGTTTTATTAGTGGTTTTCTTTAGTAAATTGAGCTAGAATGAAAAAATATCCCTTAGTCTTACAGGCTTAGTACACAGTTTTATCTATGGTTATTTTGGTTATTCTTGCTAAAGATATCCCAGTAATAGTTTATTCAGCTGTCAAATCAACATTTTAATTTTCCCGATAGTCTCTAGAAAATAGAAGTTTATAGTAGAATTTTAAATGAATCATGCTTTGAATTCATCTATTTTCCTTGTGGTTTTCTAGGCCATAGTATAAGGAAAGTGAAAACACAGTAAATAAATATAGGCTTAAAAATGGCAGATACAATATGATTTCTGGTGTAGTATATACTAAATTACAAATGTATTTTTTTTTTTAAAAAGAGGCCCTTTTTAGTCAATATTTGTCTAAATTTGGGCATAGTTATTGCACTTCAGTGTCTCGAACTCTACTAAAGAGTAGAGAAATAGGTTACAAACATAAATCTGTACAGCTTATGTACTTTCTTTACTGAAAATGTACATATAAATTGTATCAATGATATATTCTTGAAACAAATCCTGAAAACATAAAAAAGGCAAAGGTAAAGAATCTGAATATTTAAAAATGCACCTACTGTGCATTTTTGAAGATAGAAACACTAATAAAAAAAGTGGATACAAATATCAACTATCAAAAAAGAAAGAAAAATACTACTTACTTGATCCTTCTAATATTATCTGAACAAAAATTTATATAAACTAAAGATACTTTTAGAAAGTCAAATACTTACTTGTTTTTCATTTCTCATTTACTGTGAATTGGGTCCACAAATATCGGGATGGAAAAAAATCAGTAATATTATATAAATTGGTAACAATAAGTGAAAATATTACAGTGAATCAAACTTATTATACATATATATATATACACACTACATTATAATTTCCATCATCACAAGCCTTTCTGTACAAAATGATATAAATTTTTCAATTTCTTTTATTTTTAATGTACCATCTGATTTAAATAAGTTATAATTTTTTTAACTTTGCTTAACAGTCTAGCACTATACTTTGATTCTGGTATCTGTTTATATTTATATAGCTATTTACAAATCTAACAATTTGAAATATTCACTGAAATTGGATCTTAAATTTTCATTATATACATCCTATTGCAAAATGTGAAATGGCCATCTTAAGTATTTTAGGGGTTTTTCTTCCACAAAGGGGTTATCACTTCAAGACGGTCTGGCCTATTGGCCTAGAGTAAAGATTGTCATGGGAATGGCTAACAGAATTATCACTAGAATAAAGTCTTTCAGAACAGCTATAAATCTGAGAACTTTGCACTTTCTGGTCAAGAGTAAACAGTCTATCAGATCCAGCACCTTGCACTCAAACTTATTACAAACCCATTGGTGGCTGTGTAAGTATACGATGGTTGGCAGCATCGTGTGGCATAGGAGGGCGGGAATGGATTCCAGCAACCTAAGCTAAGGGAGGACTGTAGTGGAGGGCCGAGGCCTGTGCTGGTAGGGGACTGTGGGTAAGAGCAGGAGCTTGTGCTAGAGGAGAACTATGGTGGAGAGCAGACCCTTGTCCTGTTGGAAGGCTATGGCACAGAGAGATAGCCTGAGTCACGAGAGGGTTGTGGCAAAGAGCTATGGTCTGTGTCACAGGAGGACTGCAGGAACAAACAGAGACTTGTATCAGGGATGGATTGTGACATAGAGCAAAAGTCTGTGGCTGTGAAGGGCTAGAATGGGTCAGAGAAGTAGGCATCCAGCAGGCATCAGAATGACCCAAGATGAGACATTCTTGAGTACAGTTGTCAGAGATCTCTTCCACAGTTGGTTGAACAGTTATTTCTGTAGCTGTTAGGATGTGAAACAAATAAAACAATTTATATTTTAAAGGCATTTTATTAGCTAATTAAGACAACTCATTGTTACAAGAAAAGTAAACCTAAACATAAATACATCATAGACTTCCAATATTTTCAAAAGTGGCATTTGATTTGTAAAGAAATAATTACTAGAGAAACATGAGTCAGTCAAAGTAGATGGATGGAGAGTCATGCTTATAATTAAGGTACCTATTATCCCCAAGTTGGATGTTTTTAAAATGTTTGTAACTATAAATGAAGACTATCATCACTGACCTATACATTCAAGTCAAATGAAATGTAGCTACTAACACAGTAGAGAGTAGTGCCAATAAAAAAAAAATGAGAAAAACTTAGAACCATATTATAAAAAAACAATTTTAGCTAACCATTTCGTTAAGAATCTAACTGGAGAATAAATCTAAGAAGAAAGTAGATTACTTTAGAAAGAGTTTATTGAAATCTAAGATGTCTTTTAGTTTCAAGATTTAAATATAACTATCTCAAAGGTAATTTCTGAATACCTAATTTTCTGATAATAAATTAGTTTAGTATGAGAAATTAGAGTTCAGCAACATAATAAACTACAGATACAAAGTACTTAGTTTTAAACTACATTACTTTCTAAAACTCTTCATATGGTTTCTGTAAAATTTTCAGATGCCAATAAATATCAAATATCAATATGCATATTATACAAATACTAGCAAGTTATAGTACAGCTAAATCATATAAACTGATTATAGGAAAAAGGAATGTTATAAAATGGAATAATGGATATTGCATCAAGATATAACATCAATTTTCTAAGAAGACATAACAATCATAAAAATTAAAAATAGAAATTCAAGTTCCTATAAATCTTTAACAGAATATAGAATCCAGGTGCTATAATTACCCTATCACATTAAAAAATATAGGACATTAAAGAACTGACTCTGAAGACTATTTTTCTCAAGAAGATAAATGCTTATCCTCATTTGGAATATATTTAAAAATATCTCCATGAGATTAACATTTAAAATATTCTATACAGAGGTTTTAGCTAGAGCAATTAGACATTAGGAAATAAAAGAAATCAAGGTTGAAAAAGAAGTGAAGATACCATTATTTATAGACAATGTACTATATACTGAAAACCCTTAAGATGCCACTGAAAAGCTATTAGAAATAGTTAAATGAAGATTGTAAAGTGGCAGCTTACAAAATGAGCACAAAAATCTGTTATTTCTAATATTCAATGAAACAGTGAAAATAAATTAAGAAAAGCATTCTATTCATAATAAAATGAATCAAAAACCAAGGGATTAACTTAAACAAGAAAGTACAGGATTTACACAGTGAAAACTATAAGACATTATTAAAGGATTTAGATCATGACATAAGGAGATGGAAAGACCTTCCATGCTATGGATCGGGAGAATCGATAGAGTCAAAATGACTCTTCTACTAAAAGTGCTGTATAAATTTAATTCAGTATCTGACAAAATATCAATACTACTCTTCAAATAAATTGAACAATATTGTTAAAATTTATATGGGTACTACTTTTGAAATAAATTGAATGATGTTGTTAAAATTTATATGGAACCATAAAAGGACTAAAATAGCAAAGGCAATCCTGAGAACTATGTATAGAGATAAAGATATAATGTTACCTGGCTCTGAACTATACTGTAAATCAAGTATAATAAAAACAAGATGGCATTGGCATAGAAATAGATACGTGGATCAATGGAACAAAATCAAAATCCCAAATAAACCCATGCATGTATCAATATTAAAACACAATAAAGGACTCACTACCATACAGTGGGGGAAAAGGGAATATCTTTATAGGTACTGGGAAAAAATGTAAAAGAATAAAGTTGCTTCACTTTCTAACTCCATGAACAAAAATAGAGAAAGTAATTCAAAATGAAAAAAGATTTATAAACCTGCAAAAATAAAATACACAGGAGAATACATTCACAATATGTTTCATGACATTTATAATAAAGATATTTATTGCTAGGGAATCTACTCCTATGCCAAGGGAAATAAAGGCATAAAGAAACAGTTGGGACTACCTCAAATTAAAAAGCTTTTACACAGTGTGAAGAAATACAAGTAGATTAAAAGACATGTTATTAAAAGAGAGAAAATGTTTACACATTATATAACTGACAAGGCATTAATATCAGGTTACATAAACATATTCAGTTTGACTATTAAAAGAAAAACCCAATTAATAAAAGGGCAATCGATCTGAACAGATAATTCACTGAAGATGATATCCAGAAGGCCAAAAGATACATGTAAAAATATTCATTATAGTTTTTAATGCAGGAGATGCAGGTCAATAGCACAATGAGATTTCATCTTACCTGGGCGAGAATTGGGAAGATTTAAAGGCCACTGCTTAAGTGCTGTCGAGGATGTGAAAGAGTAACCCTCTCTCACAGTTTTGGCAACATAAACTGATGTAGGCATTTTTTGGGAAAGTGAGAAACTATCAATTAAACAAACAGGGCCCTTTCTGGTGGTGCAACAGGTTAAAGTATAGCACTACGAAGCTAGCTGCAGTGGCTTCAGCATGAGTTCGATCCCCAGCCATGTGACCCACATGGCACAGCAGACCTCTCCTGACACGCCCGCTGCTCCCCTCAGCAGTGTACTTCATAGACCTGCCTGTTCTTCTCCCCACTTGTCTCTGGTGAATCCTTTCAATCCCCCACTCCTCTGGCCTGTATCACAGTTCTGTGTGCATAAATAAACACATCTTTAAAAAAACAAACAATCCCTTCCCCACGTTTTCTATATTTTTATTGAAGCATTTATGATAGCTAAGACATGGCAATAAAGAGTGCAGAGTGGTAGGGGGCTGTATCAGAAGATGTATTATATCAATACAATGGAATATTATTCAGTTATAAGAAAAAATCTTGCCATTTGTAAAAAAAAAATAGGAGTTCAAGGGTTTAGTTAAATTTATGAAAGTTACATTTATTTTGATCATTTTTTTCTTGCCATTATTCCCCGAACACCAATTATTTATATAGCACTAATACTGTGTTAGTGATTGCATATAATTTAGAAATGATTTCAATTACATGGGAGGACGTGCCAAGGTTATGGGCAAACACTACATTTTACATAAAGTATTTGACCACATGGAATTTTACAATATTAATGTATTTTATTATCTTTTTCTTGTATAATTGCCCTGATGAAAGCAGACATCCTATATCTTGCTCTGTTTTTAGGGGAAAACATGCAGCATTTCACTGTTAAGTATTTTCTAATTTTATGGCTACTTCTTTAACAGCTTTAACTTCTAGAGTGTGTTATTTAAATTTCCCATATTTGTTAGCTTTGTAAATTAATTAATTTTATTTATTTCTAATCTCATTGCTTTGTAGTCAGAGAGCAGATTATAGATTCAATTATTTCAATTCATTGTGTCTTGTTTTATTGTCTATCCTGTAGTCTATACTACAGAAAGTTGCATGTAAGATAATGTGTATTCTGCTCTTACTGAATATGGTGTCCTATAAATATATGCTTACTATAGTTCATCTACAGTGCTGTTCACAGTTTTTTCCTTATCGGTCTCCTGTTTCTTCCTACAATCCTGTCATTTTTTGATTCATAGTTTTTGAGTCACTAATTATGATTAGGTGCATATATGTTTATTTTCACTATATCTTCCTAGTCAATTGACACATTTATCATGATAAAATGCTCCCCTTTAACTCTAGTTACACTGCCTAGGTGCCAGATAGTACAACATCTATGGGCCAGTCAATGTAATTAACCAGATAAACAGAAGGAAAAATTATATCAATGCATGCACAGAAAGTATCTGATATGCTTCAATACCAATATAAGATAAAAAGTCTCAAAAATGTGATAAAGGAAATATACTTCAATATCATAAAGACCATACATGAAAAAGCCATAGCTAACATTTTAACTCAATGATAAAAAACAAACAAGAAACTGAAAGCTTTTCTTCTAATATAAAGTACAAGACAAAGATGTCTACTTTTCTCCCTGCTATTCAACATGGTATTGGGAATCCAAGCTAGAGCAATTACATGAGAGAAAAATTTAAAAGAATCCAAATTGGGGAAGAAATATGTGCCTCAATATTTGACAAAAACATGAAAATATACATTGGAAATCCTAAAGATTCCACTAAAATACTATGAGAAATAACATCAGTACATTCAGGTGGCAGGCTACAAAGCAAGTATGTGAAAATCTGTTGCATTCTTATCTTCAAACAACTAGAAGAGAAAGGAATCATATTGATAATCTCATTTAAAATCACATCAAAAATACCTAGGAATAAACATAACAAAAATGATCAAAGACCTGAGCAATGAACACTATAAGAAATCGTTAACACAGTCAGAAGATGGCACAAAGAAAGAGAAGATAATCCCTACTCGGGGATTGGAAGAATTAACACTACTAAGTGATTGTCTTACATAAAGCAATATACAGGCTCAATACAATTCCTATCAGAGTTTCAATGACATTCTTCAAAGAAATAGAACAAACAGTACTTAAATTGGTATGACATCACAAATTCCTGAGTAGTTAAAGCAATTCCTCCAAAAGGGTCTGGTAGGATAAGAGACCAAACCTGGGGAGGTACCCAATGGACTGTTATGGATGGAATATTACAGATGATTTGGTGTTGGGCATGGTGTAGCAACACAAATCTGATGAGTTATAAATCTATGTATGCCCTTACACCAGATATAATGTTGTAAATCAAAGTCCATTCAATAAAAAATACAATGAAAATGAGTAAAATTAAAAAAGTAAATTCTTACACAAAGTTTAATTCATGGGCAATTGTCCACATAGATATGTGTGCACAATTTATAATAATTTACATTTTTAATTTCATTTTTGTAATCTGAATAATCTAGAATGCCTTGCTGAAAATCCTAGTTTCAATTAGGACTTTAAAATAATTTCCATTGTTCTACATCT